GAGAGAGAGAGAGAGAGAGAGAACACACGAGCATCTTGTGTTTCCATAAAGGTTGCCTGTCCCTGTTGTAGCTTGCTGTTTCTTTTCAACAATAAAACTTAGAGACCATCTGATGAGATACATGAATCTGTAGGCTTAGAAGGGAACTGGTGTCCCAGAGACACTCTCCAGTCTGTAGGAGACTGGATCAACAAAGTCAGGAAGACATTTCAAGAGGCCAACCCTTTGCCCTTGTCTGAGTAGCACTCCACTGGGTGTGCTTTCAAGTCCCAACTCATATTCCCAACCTCCAGTAGGCTTTTCCCTTGAGATGGAAAAGATCTGTTTTGCGCCTGGAATCCCATAATGCCTCATATCCTTTTCTGGCCTTGGAAGAAACTGGTTTGTCTTATAACAGGAAAAAAAAATCTAATTTCAAATACAATAATTGGTGAGGTGCTGAGAAGAACATTTTTCTCTCGTCTTATACCAACTTGGACAACACGGGTTATTACCCTAATGGGAACAGCATAGCAGAAAGAGGCAATTGGAAAAGGAGCAGCTATTTACAACTCTATGACAGAATTTTTTCTTTATGCGGGCTAACCATTGATTTTTCCCTTGTCACACGCACAGGTGAATCCTTTCTACATAGGGTAAAATAGTGATGGTTGTTTCAGCCTGCGTTTTTATTTAGCAACATCTGTTTTACTATGTTGCAGATCCAAAAGAACAAAAGATAATGAGGTTGATGTGAGCACGGGATTTAAAACATGCTTATATTACCACTCTGAACTTGAATGTAAATGTGCTTATTACTTACCTGCACAGATTGCAACTCCTAAGTAAGCAACAGTTGTGATCAGAATGGCCAGCATTGTTCCTTTAGGTATTGCTTCTTGTGGATCCTGGAGTTTTATAGTAAAAAGATTACAGTGAAATAGAGAGAGAGATACAGCAAGTCATATGTTTGCATTTTATAGTTTATAGAAAGAGTTCGAAAATGATTAATTTATGAGAAAGTCAGCCAACCTTAAATGACTTATACTCATGATAATAGAGCAGTATGTTTGAAATTGTGCTGACATTTGGGTACTTTTGTATAACCCTGCCGGTTGTCTTTATGAAGAACAAAAATGGGCCGAGCTCATTGCACTGAAGGGAATTCCATGGAAACTGTAAAATCCAAGCAGACAATTAACCTTTTCATAACTGATGTAAACGAAGGGTACAAGGTGTTTATTCTTCTCTTCACTGATAGAAAGTAAGCTTTGCCTTTACAAAACAGTGAAGTAGGGTTTTCCAAACATCATGTAGAATTCCACCCAGAGGTTTGCTCCCGGTGTTGCTCCTCTTATGAGTTAACTGCAAAGTGCTGTATTTGCTAATGTGGAGGGCAGTTTTTGGAGGTCAGCGTGTGACTATAAGTTCATGACTTTCTCAAAGGCTTGCAAATGTCATGAGCCAAAGCCTTGAAAGCAAAAAGAGAAAGAAAACGTAGCCCGGTCCCATTCCATATTTTCCGTGCCGAAACTGCATTTTTCTTTCCTTATCTCCCCATAGTAAATTTAAGTTCCATTGTATGTACAGATTTTTAATGGATTATCAAAGCTGACTGTAATGATAATTTCATAGTTCATTTCTAAGTGTAATACCCTGACTGTATTCATATTCTGGTATTTGAGCTACAGAAATCTTCTTTTAAATTTCATAGTATGTTTCTGGAAGACATGTTAGATAGGTGGACTGTTAGCTCAGTAAGAAAAAGCAAATGGGATATTGGTTAGAGACCAATAGGATGGAACCAAACCTCTTCCATAAAAGTTCTCTTTGACATCTTGTGATAGACAAGGGTAGAGACCCCTCTCTCTCTGGAACACAGGTGGCCTTGTGGCCAAAGGTCAGAATATTGTACCTGGAGTTGTACTCCAAAAGTAGATATAGCCAGAACAGAAGAACAAGGTTAGGACAAAGACAAGATTTAATGCAACGCACTTTATATTTAATTCATATGTTTACTTCTCATGTTTTAATTATTTTACCCTTCAGCATGCTTCCAATTGCAACATGGTGGTAATTTTTAGAAGAGTTTTTTGGGCCAGACTCAGAAGTTTTGGTGGCCACATATGGCTTTGGGGACTCTGGTTCTGCACCTCTAGTGTAGAAGTCGGACTCCAAATCCCATCATCTTTTACCGTTATTATAATGGATTAGGGACTTGGAGTTCAACAATGTCCACTGATGTCCTACCTCTGTAATCAAGTCCTGAATGTAGAAGAGCAAGATATGAATGTAAAATAATAAATAATGTGAAAAGGTAAAAATATGTCCAGAAGTATTTCTCCGGTGACATCTACTGATTATACACTTCACAAGTTCTTGCAAAAAGGTTTTTCCAAATCAATAGTAAATGTTCTCCTTGCAGTTATGATTCTTTAAATCTTGCTCTTTGCTTCAATGTTAAAAAATATTTTTAATATTCAGCAAATATTCTATGCCTTTCAATGGTATATTTAATAAATATAGTAACAACTATGCTACTGTTCCAAAAAGCCATTACATTATCTAATGCTGTGCTGTTTATTTGACAGTCTTGTGGTTTTATGGATATCTATTCTGTATTTTCAAATGTACATACCTCTAAGTCTCCAGAGATGTTGGCTCCAGCAAGAATGCCAGTGGCTGCAGGGAAAAAAATGGCAAACACAGAGAAAAAACCTTCATCACCTCTGAATTCTGGTCCAAAGTTTTCTGCAAATATGGAAGCTGCAACCAAACACAAAAGAATTAAGGAACTATGTGGACTGTTCAGGTTGTTCTGGAGGTCTTAATCATTGTGACTGATTTTATATTTCTTTCCCTCTCTCCTACAGACTCCTTCGCCACAATCCATTCTAGAGAACACCATGGGAGGAGCACATCTAAGAATACCCAATGGAGTGTCATCAGCTGTTGCCATGTAATGTTCCTGTCCAGTCCCTATGCGTAAGTTGTTCTGCAAAGGTGTATGGAAGGCATGCAGCAATTGCTTGTATGCAGATAGAGCTAATGTGTAGATTGATTCTTGGATTATGATGCAAATAAGTACACAGATTTGGACAAAAGAGGCATTATCCAGAAAATGCCAGAGTTCAGTTCATCAAAAGTTGAGGACAGGCTGAAAAATGTGCATTGAGAGAAAGCTGAAAGGAACAAGAGCATATTATCTAGTTTAGGGATAGGAAGACTTTGAAGGTACAAATATAACCCAGGTCACATATTTGTGATTATTACTGTTGATTGTTGTTTAATTTTGGTGGGTTTTTTTTAAACTGTTCAGAATCATATTGTTCGAGTTGGGTGGCCATATAAATAAAATGAAAGAATGAATGATTGGATGAACGAATGGATGCATAAAATAAATAGTTATTATGTATTAAATTTATTTTGGAATTTTCAGAGCATCTCAGGGTTGCTACTTGCCATGATGGTTGTGGCCAGGCTCATAATACCAATTTACTCACCTGTAAACTGTTGAGTTTCCTTTCTACCCCTGTTTCTAGCCAGCTGTACTGTTCCCTACTGCCCCAACTTATCTTTACCTTTTTGTCTGTGATTCAGATACAGAGATGAGTGGAATGAGATTTCCTCATAATGAACTCAAGGCCCATTGGTTTCATTTGCATGGCTGTGCCTATTTTTTTGTAGGATTTACTACTTGTTATTTTATGCCAGTGATGCAGCATGTTGTACAAGGTCGTCAGGTTCTCGTCATTCAACACCGAAATTACATGGGTAAAGAGATCTAGTAGAGGCAGAGCTGTGATGTTTCAGGTCTGTTGCTTGGGTATAAGTCTATGAATGGTACCGTGAGTTGTGACTAGGGCTGTGGTTGATAGGCAAATTGGGCATCATGCAATTCATGCATTGGATATTCCATGCTGCTCTTTTTGTTAAATTGCAGTATTCCTCAACCCAATGGTCTCTTTTTTCTTAAAAAAAAAAAAAGTTCTTTCATGGTACATGATTGCTTGTTTTTCCTATTGCTATTTACAGTATCTTTCCCCTGCATCTTGCCACTTCGTATGATTGTGACTCTTGTTTACTGTGACAGATTTTCACATCTGAAGCCCTGTAGCACTAGAAGCACTTGCCTTGATAATTGAAAAAACCTCTCGCCCTCTTTTCTGCATTGCTAGGAATAACAGTCCCAATGAAAAAATTTACGATAGCAATGAGAAGTATAATTAGAAGAATCACTTGGGCCTGTAAAGAAAGAGAAAGAACATTTTTGTAGTAGATTTCTTTGAGATAATTCTTTAGTTGCAGCCTGTATATCTGAGTAAAAACTGAGAATGAGTTCTCAAATCCAACAATGATCCACTACAAACCAGATTGGCTTCCTATTTGTTTTCTCTGAAGACTTATGCTTTAAAAAATTACCTTTGCTTCCCATTCCATACCAGCCACAGAAATGCCCAGAAGAATTACAACAGTTATGGCACCAATTATCCTGATGTCATTGGTTGCATCAACCATTATTGCATTACTGCTCTGGAAAAAGAAAACAGTGAGAAAGTAATTGTTAAAAATATACTTTCCGTAAGATAGTTCTAGTAGCCTCATAAAATAAAATGGAATTACTACAGAGGGATTCTTCACATTTCATGGGTAATGAGCCTTGAATTTTACATTTCTCATACTGCATGGACCTCAGCCGTCAAGGTTATTGGCTACCTAATTAGAACCCTAATTCCCCTTAGTAATTTTGAAACTTTTACAGTAGTTTAAGAAACATTTCCTTAATCTGGTAATAAGAAAGCAAAACTGTATGAATTAGAATAAACGATATGGTTAAGGAGTTCCGATTCATGAATATGGCTGCCCCTTCACTCTTTTATTAGACTTGTGATCATTACAGCCGAAAAAGATACGAGCCAGGTTTCCCCAGGCTTAGCCATATGCAAATAATGATGCTTACCTTGAGGAGATCCACAACTGTTTCTGCAAAGCCGACCACATACATGGCCACTGCCACGGCGTTGGCAAAGGCAAAGATGAGACCTATGGAGCCTCCAAACTCAGGTCCTAAACTTCGTGAGATCAGGTAATAAGCGCCACCTGTCAGCACCGTAAAGAGTTGCTTCAGCATATGGACAAAGCTGCACGTGACATTATGTTTTTCCTAGTAGGTGGTCCAAGGATAATCCAAGGTTTTTTTGCCCTAATGCGGAGAATGCAGATCGAGTACTATACGCTGAACAGGACTAGGATATCATCTGCTATGACGTTACAAAGGATTCTCTTGGATTAAGAGATGCATTGTGGCTTCCCCTAAAAATATGCTGATCCACATCACTTAAATTCAAGCAACTGGAATGTCTCTATACAATACTACTGCTTTGCTACTGCTACTACTACAGTACTATTGCTGCTGCTGCTGCTAATGAAATACCTTGAGCCTCTGAGCTCATTTCTGTGCACCTCTTGATTATAAAACTCAGACAAGAGACATTAGAGACAGTCCTTAGCAGCAGCCTCCTCCATATGGACCATTCTTCTCTGGTTGCCAACTTTGTTTTCTTCAGTGCCAAGTTAAGGCTTTGTTTTGTTCTGCCAAGCCTTTTCAAGTTTCTGTTATTTTAATTTTAACATATATTATATAAAATATATTGGGTTGAAAAATAAGAGCTTCAAATAAATGGGAACATATGTAAAAACATACAAAAAGCTTTCTCCATCTGTCTTCTCTAGGCGGTTCTCCTATAGAATTTCTGTATGTACGTTGTTCACAATAATCTCTTTATACTCAATAGAATTACAACACGTGGTTTTGGAAGCACAAAGAGATGATATAGAAAACAATTCCCTCTGAGTCCACAGCGGAACAATCTCCTAGAGTAAATCCTTGCATTCCAATTTGCGACATGCCACGTTAGATCCTTTGGATTTCATGAAGTACATTGTTGAGAAGCATCTAAAGAAGTAGTAGTCATTGATTATTTAATGCTTGAGTATTTTCTTTAAGCTGGTACCCTCTAGTTCATGCTGGTTGGACCTCATGAGAATGAGAGGAGGGTAGCAGATAGGAAAGTGACTTAAATCTCTTCCTATATACTTCAAACAGGAACAATTTCCCTGCATTTATTTTATTTTAAACTCTTGCAGAATCAAAAATATTCTTTAGCTATTTCATCTAAGTCTGCTTTTGTGTAATGGAAAGTAATTTCACAATTACTTTAAATGGGTGTGAAAAAACCCTCACCATTTCAGCTCATCTAAACATTTGGAAAGTATTAGCTATTCCTTTTCTTTTGCCAAGATGATATAATTTGCCATCCTCCTTCTTATATCAGAACTGACCCTTTATGATTCAGATGACTTCCTACTACATTTTAGTTTGGTATGCATTTATTTGGATATTGTTTGTCCAGAAGGAACCCTATTTTCTATTCAAGCAGAAAATTGACTTACCTCCTCTTACGACTCCATTTGTACATATGGCAGACATGGAAATACCTGTTAAAGTTGTAACTACCACACTCAGGCAAATAACTACGACTCCAAGACCTGAAAAAGTCCCAAAAAAGATCTTTGATCCAAGTACCTTGGTCACATCATTTGCTTTAAAATCCTTTAACCGGAAGCTGGTATCCTCTGGTAAGAAGTGATCACTCATGGAAAGGGGTGACTGGAACTGACAATAGCTGACACACACTGTTCATTCATCACAATTAAATACCTGTAAAGTGTTGTTGATGCTGCTTCCAGAGCTGATTGCTTGTGTTCTTGAGGATGGTGTATAAATAAAGGTTAAGAAAGTAAAAGAATGAATTAATACATTTTAGTGATCTTTATTAAGTGATAGTGGGAAAAGACGAATGTTCTTCATGTCCGGTCCATTGAAGGAAATGTAACCTGTAATGTTTTGAGTCTGATTTATTTTTTTAAAGAAAGATAGAAAAGTAAAGCTGGGGAAAAAAATGGACTCCATTCTTCCATCAGTCTTAGACCTTCATGAACTGAACCGGCCTTTATGTTTGTGAATTAATTAATTATAGAATGTTAATTGTGTCGAGGGTATGACTCACCTTCTGGTTCTTGGGATTACCGTGACTGAGGCTGCTTATTACAGTGAAGAACCTTTGACTTATAAGACAATAAATGGGGAACTAATTCTGAAGAACGGTGAGCACTGTGGAAAAGGGAAACACCCTAAAGATTTTTACCTCCACGGACCAAACCATTAGTTGCTATTGCAGAAGTTGATAAGCCAGTAATGGAAGTAACCATGGTAGCAAGTAGGATTATGATAACTCCAAGACCTGTCAGCAATGAAAAGATGAAAAATGTAATTGATGGTCTGCAACTTTTCAAAACCGTTCTCTAAGGTAGCAGTTTAAATTAGAAGGGATCTGCTTTTCACTGACAAACATCTTCATCCCTACTGCTGTATTGTCTTGTTTTGTCCATGTAATATAAATGTTAAATAAGCTACTGGGACAGGGATTAAGGCCCTTGATACTCTATAGAGCCCTGGGACACTGTGATTAAATTACTAAATTGTAATAGAAATGTGCATCTGTACAAGCCAAAATATTTATATCTCTATTCATCAGTGTAACCCCCTGAGTTAACTCATTTATTTCTCTCTTCCTCCAATTCCCATCAGTTCTGACTAGCATGGCCAATGGTTACAGATATAAATAATTGTAATCCAGCAATGTCTGGAGGACCACAGATTCTCCATCCCTGAATCCTGATTATTCATTATAAGTTTCCAATGGACTTATTTCTTGCTGAAGTTACTTAACAATATGTTAGGACATATTGCCAAACTTCCAAGAATCCTGAATATCCTTGCAGGAACAGTAATTTTTCCATAGTGAAATATTGCGCTCCAAATAGGGCAGATAATTTAAAAGAAGCCCAACAGTCTATAAACACTGAATGAACCCTGTTTGGACAATGTATTGTACCTTCCCTTGAGTCAAACAGGAATGTTAGTTTCACCTCCAGACATTCATTAATATCCATGTATGTGTAGAATACACTATATGAATAGAGCAATGATAGAAAGACCAAATTAAATCAACAAACACATTTAGGGAAATAACCATGTACTTATGTAAAATATATTCAGATGTTACACTCATACTTATATATTTATATGGACTGGAGGAGAGACAGCAGAAAGCTATTTTGCCTCCTTTACTCCCACCCTGTCCCACCCTCCCCCCCGGGAAGGTGAGACTGTATTTTGAAATTTAAGGACTGGTAAATCATAATTTTAAAATGAAATGTGAGAAATTGAGCCACTGGAACTGCTCTTTTTACAGACTAATGGTGAGCTCTGATTAAAGTTTAGATTAAAAACCAGTTGCAAGGTCATTAAATAACATTTAAATGAATGACTCTTGCCCCTAGCTATTTTCATACCTTAGAAGAAAGTAATGCTTCTTGATGATGGTAATAAGTTACTAGACTACCATTAAAAAACAAACAAACAAACAAACCAAAAACCTAATTTTGCATGACGCCCCAGAGCAAAGTCTTGACAATGTTAAGATGCAGAATTGCATGGCAAGGCACATACTTATATGGATTTCCAGCAGCAAGCCCTCATTTGCTATGCATCATAAAATCCTTGAGCACCTTATTGTCAGGCACAAGGCCAACTGCAAACATGTAAGGTTGTGTTGGTGGGCAAAACTTCCCACCTCTCATCTGCTTATTTCAGCATGCTCCTTTTCTCTAAAGCAGATGATCCTTTCAAGTTTCCATGACTAGTGACACAGAAAATTTCCAAGGAATTCTAAGAAAAATCTAGAAAAGGCCTGTACAATTAAGAAAATTCCATAAGCAAGAGAATTAGACGGCGTTGTGATGGAATTCTTTTCATTTTAGGAGAAAACCTGTATCCTTTAGGCTAGTTTTTGTAGCACAAACCCATCTCGGTTAGATACTTTGAATGTAGTTTTTTGTTTTTAAGTCCATTTTTGTTTTTAAGTCTGGAAGAATATGGGTTACTGACAAGATTCTTCTTTTAAATTTGAAAACCCGTAAGTATTGATGACAGAAAATAGGCCAGAATGCACATAGAGTTCCTCATACGTGTCTTTATGATAGAAAGCTAGCAGAAACATCTTTTAAATTACAGGAATTGTCATTCATACATACATACATGCATACGTGTGTGTTTGTGTGTGTGTGTGTGTGTATATATGATTCTGCAACCCTACATTTTCTGTCCAATCCATTAAAAAACAATTATATACATATTTCAATTATATACTTTTTGCTAATATTTTACAAATTCTTTTGTAGAACCTGGCCATACCATAAACTGGACAATATAGTAACTTTGATCCTCATGGCGGCTGTTATTCATGACTATGACATGTAGGCAGGAAAGGTGAATAGCAACAGTCATTGGGCTTATTATGTAAAGAAAAGGATTAACCTCCCTCTAGCCTGAGTCAATGACTATTTTCATAGCAAAAATGAGTTTAGAAAATAAGTTTACAGTAGTTTGGTCTTTAGTTATCTGTTGTTTAAATGACTTAGGTGAGATCACTTTCCTTGGAACATAATTTATCTGTCTCAAACAAGGGTTCTAATCAAGGGTTTAGAACAAGGGGAACAAACATTTCTTTATAGTTATACTGGGATACATGTCTTGGCGACTTTGATGTAAATGCCATCTTTGGAAAGGAAATGATATATAAGATGGTTTGTTGGTTTCCCTTTTAATGTAAATGCAATAATGTGGAATGACATTCTTAAAAAGATTAAAGAAACTGATTTAAAACAATATATTTTCCAGAATTCTCCAGTGGCCACCACTGGCTTATTTAAGGCTTAGCGTATCATGTCTCTGCAATGTCTCCCTTCCATAACCAGAGAAACAAATATAAAATAACCCATGAATAGTTTGGAGTTCTTCTAATGGTCAGCAGTGGGCAAACATCTTGGACAGATGACATGAGAAGCCTTTAAGAAGCCACTGTTGGCCATTGAAGATTTAGGCCGGGAGGCCGGAAAGATGTGCCGTACAATCAGACACATTCAAGACTAACCATAAATTAAGCTTACCATCTCATCTGCATATGGTCAGATGAGAAAGCAGGGTTTACTTTTCTAGTATTAACCTATTTGTGTTTTAGAGTATGGAATCAATTCAAAGAGGTTTTTTTCTGCCTCTCCCTGTAATGAATCCCTTACATATAAATCAATATGTAAAAAGAAATATATAGGGGATACATTATCGTATATGGTAGCTATTATCCACTTCAGTTAGGGAAACCTAAATCCTTTTGAATGCAACATACATACATTTGTGTGTGTGTGTGTGTGTGTGTGTGTGTGTGTGTGTATGTGTATGCAAGATTTTGGTAATGCGAAGTTGTAACCGGGCAGAGCAATTTGACCTCTCTATTGTGAAATGCTGCAGCCTCGAAGGGGGGAAATCAGATGAAAACTGTAGTGTACCACATTATCCTAGAGCAGATCATTGGATTATGACCTGAAGCCCTAGAAAATTCCAATAATGCTTTCATATATATCTAATAAATGAAATGTCTAGAAACCATGAAAATATTCAGGATGCCAATTCACACTTCAATTTAAAGTAACTGATGTTTCTCCTGACTATAATAAAAAGTTATACGGTATTTTTTAAAAAACATACCAATTCCAGCTTGACCAATAATCCAGGAAAGACGAATAAATAGCATTACACCCCAGATGTTCAACATGCATCTCACCTAAATATTAAACAAAAATGGTTGTATCAACATATAACTGCAGAATGCAATAGGTTTAAAACGGGTAACAACACTCTTGTGAAAAAAGAACAAATGTATTAAAAATGTACTGAAAAGTTAAAAAGCCATAATAGCCTGAAATAAAAGGAACCCAAACTATATAAAATAGTTGCTCTGACAGAACTGTAATTATCTGGTTAAAGCAGAAATTTTGATTTAAAAATTAAAATGCTAAAGTTGGAGTGTTTTTAAAAAATAAGAATAGGAACTGAGATGTTAAGAACTCAGTCATAGGAAAGGATTGCTTCAAATCAGCTTCATATATGTTCATTGCACGGGATGAAACCATGAAAATCTCATGGCAAGAAATCCCCGATGGAAATATCTACCTGCTTTTCTGCATTATGAGATTACGCAAGTTGCGCTACCAACTTTTTAAATTTTAAAAGCAGATGTTATGTACTTGTACAGGTACAAGATAAATGTGGCTTACCAGGACACCCTTCACCCATCCAAATTTCACAGCTCCTTTGGTTTCTTCTTCCTTGTGGAAATCAGCTTCTTCTGTGTTGCCGTCTGCTTTGGTGAATTTGTCGACTGAACCAGAAGCCACTGTGATATTCTAATCAGACATTTTTAAACAAAATAGCTTGTATTCCTGGATTTCATAACAAAGGAACTGTGTTCTGTATAGGTGGGGATTCCATAGGAGAGTAGCAACCCACAGAATATATCAGCTGCAAAATTATTTCTTTTCATTTTTAAAAAAACTAGGTTCAAGTACATCGGGTTTAAAGAGATGGGCAGCGTCAGTTCATCTGTCAAACAGCTTGCCTTGCCTACCTCTCTTTGCCCCTTCCTATAATTAGTACAAACAAAATAATTAAGAGGAAAATGAAAAGGGTATTGCGTCATTTAGACAAGTTGTAGAAATAAAATGCAGGCTGCAGTGTAACAAATGTTGTTAGGGTTTTTCTACATCATTATAAAAGGCTTTTATCCAGGGGCATCCACAGGAAAAGTGTGAAGAACATCAAGATGGCAGCCACAAATCTTGCAATTTTATGTGTCGTGCTCATGCAGTCACCATCTTGATTTCTTTGATATTCTCTTGCAGACGTCCCTCTGGATACCTCTTTTCATGTGCGCAATGTATTTATTTATGTGTCAAATTTATATGGCTGCCCATCTCACCGAAAGTGAGTCTGGACGGCATACGATAAAACCAAGAATTAAAACAGTTTGTAAACCCCTTAAAACAATAAATATAGATAAACCAAGACCACGAGAGGGAAGACGTTTGCATGTAGCATAACCAGCATTCAGGCTCCCTATTGCCAGGGGAACTCCAGACTTGCTGGAAAAAAACTTGTTTTGAGAGCTTTATGGAAGGCCATAAGGGTTGGGGCTAACCTCACCTCAGGAGGGATGAAGTTCCAGAGGGTGGGTACAAGGACAGAACAGGTTTATTTTATATGTATATATGTATATGTATATGTGTGTATATACACACACACGCACACACAATATAGTATTATGTCTGTATATATATGTAATAGATGTTGATATATTATTTATGTAATATATTATATAAAATGTTATATTTAGCAGGCACATTCTAAAAACTGCTCAGCAATGTCCTGCTAAACTGACATAACCCTAGCTCTCTGAACACATAAGGTTGCAATTGTATGCACGTCCTTTCGGCAACATTGAATAATGAGTTACTTCTGAGGGAACATGATTTCCGCAGGCAAAATGTAAATGCTTGTAACTTCTTTGGTTTGAGGCTGAATGTATGGGTGTTATCAGTAATTGAGTAAGACATCACAAGGATAAGCAGTGTGGGCCATCAAATGCAGCAAATGTTTGGTGAAAAATCATTCTCAGAAGGTTTATGCTCCATAAGTTTACTTGTGCGGGTTGCAAACATCCCAGAAGAAGGAATCATTAGGCCTTTGCACATTTTTAGGCCACCTAAGAATGGTTTTTCTTCTGGCTGTTTATGGAAGATCAAATTATGTGTGCCTTAATTTCTTTTGACGTACCTTTGCCAGGTGTTCATGAATATCCATCAAACTTGGTCGGCTTATTTTGGCCCCTCTGATGCTTCCAGTGTTCTGGTAATAATCGACTTTTGGCACAGCATCCATTGTATTATGCCCAAATGTTTTTAGATAATAGGTGTTACTGTGGGTGTCATAGGGGTGAAAGCTTCCATCTGTTTTAGCAGTATCCCCGTTTTGTAAGAAATGGTCATAAGCTTCTTGGTTTCCAGACCTGTAGCTGATTTGGAGTCTCTTAGTGGTATCTCTAGCAAAAGAAGTCTCTTCATAATGTTGTGGATCAGGATCTCCCTGAGACTGAATTGTGTTTTCATGGTTTTCATTAATGACATTAACCTGAAATCTATTCAAATTTGGGTCCAAAAATACATTTGGAGAATTGTTCATAGACATAGTTGTGGACAATGTGTCTTTATTTCACTGATATCGTTGATTCTGTGTTGTCAGTTTTTCAGCAGACAGCAGTTATGGTGCCTAGATGATCCTTTGTGTCTCACTTAGCAACCACAGATGTTCTTATGCCGTACGCTGTGCGCTCTGCCTTCAAATACAGGAAATTTTTTAAAAGCTAATTTCTCCATAAACATTAAGATAAATTATAGTGGATAACAATGATGGTAAATGACTATGAAAAATATCAGCTATTGACTATTTAAAATCAAAACTCATTTTGTACTTCTTTCACATTTTTTCCCTATTTTATAGTCATGGTGAAATAAACAGTGCAGATGGTTGAACCTTGAAGTGCATGAAATGGAAGTTTAGATCCCATTACTTATCAGTGTTAGTCAGCACATAGATATGCCCTAACAGGTAACATCCTGGTGCTTTAAAATTAGATGATAGCAGATTGAAATAGGAGGGGAACAACATTTTTTAGAGTACTATGATCTTCAAAACATTTTCTCTATCTCATTTATTTAAATATATTTACAGTACTTGGATTGAGAAGACAGGATGAATATTACCCAAGATTAATTTAGAGATTTATCAATGCTGGGTTTGGTTAATTAATGTTTGAGAAGTTTTAATTTGAGGGTTCAGTTTATTTCTTTCAATCCCAAAATAATTTCCAAAATACCATCATGAAAAAAGAGACATAGCCTAAAGCCTGCATTTCACACCCATGTATTACCTTCCCCTAATTTATCTCCCAAGGACATGCCTTGGAAACTAACTAGAAGAAATACTGTGGGGAGAAAAGGTATTTTGTAGAGTAAGAAGGAATGTCAATATAGATTTAAAACAGAAAAGAGAGAAAGTGGTAATTGGGAAGAAGTTAATAAAATTTTCAGTGCTTGTTTGTCTAAATTACTTCCTTCTATTTTTTGTCTCGGTTTAGTGACAGGGGGTTAGTACATACCAGTGGCTCCCACCCTGTGCTAATTTCTTCAGTCAAATGTACTCATGCTGTACATTCACTGAGAGCAGCCTGTCCTTGCTGAGGATACAGCCATGTAGACTTCCTGCCTGCTTTTATTAAAAATGGTAGTTGTGAAACTGGTTAAGGATGAAAGAATAGCTGTGATTTCTAGCTTCTCATGATTGGGGTGTTTCTAAATTGTGCAGTAAAAAGTTATGAATAAATCCAGAAGAAAATCCAAGGCTTTGGGGAAACAGTTTGAAAAAACTAATTGATCATTTTTTAACTGCATATAAAACAGAAAGATTGTCCATCCCTCCCTCCCTCCCTCCAAACTAGAAGTTACTTGAAAGTCAAGAAAAAGTAATAATCTTGACTTCCCCCCCAATGAAAAATATTCTCGACAAGTTAAACAGACAAAGATGTGATAAAGAAAGTGGTGAAAGGAGGTGGGGATCCATTTTTCCACTCAAAATGGCTCTTCCTCTATACTTTATGAGAATCTTTACCCCTTTTTACCTCTAGAGCAGTGTTTTTTACAGTGTGGTCCTAAGTCCCCTGGGAGTCCCCCAAGACCCTCTCAGGGGTCCGCAAAGTCAAAATTATTTGCCAGCCTTTGTTGAAAAAATACTACAATATTAAAATCCCATCAAATAATCGTGAGAAGCGGTAGCAGCAGTGAATGAGTTGATTTTAATTTTTAATATGGTAAATATTGATAAATATAACCCATACAAACCAAAGCTCTTTGGGGGTCTTTTATAGTTTTTACAAGCGGGAAGGGTTCCTGAGAGAAAAAAGCAACCACTATGAACAGAAGATTGTTGGGAAGAAAAATATAGGGGAGAGGCCATCTCATTTTTTAATCTGACATCCAAGCAATAAAAAAAGGAAAAGTTACATCGGTTTGCTTATTACAAACTTACTACAACACACAAATGCCCACATTCAGATTTCTAGAGCATTTGTGAATCCAGATTGTCTCTGAACATCTGGTGCAAATTTAAGGGTGACACAAATTGTACTTTATCAGCAGTAGATGTATCAGTGAAGTCATTTTCTCAACATGTTGATTGGTATAGGTTGTACTTACTAATCAATTGCTGGGATTTTTTTTTTAAAGAAAAAAGTCTGGCTCTGTCCATAAAAAGTGTATTTGTTCTGGATGAACTATTTTCAAAATAGGGAACAGATTCTCAAACTTAAGTTAGGAACAACTTGTAATCCTAGGTGGAAATTAAACAAATACATAAAAACCTTACCTCTTAACAAATTATTGGGAGAAAGTGTGTTTTCAGCAGCCCGTTTGCTTCAGTTGTCTGTCTTGAAGTATATTCAAACTATGTATAAAGTAAGCTATCATATCCAAGGTAGTTTTAGCTGCTACTGGTGCTCGGTTAAATGAAGCAGTAATTTGCTTCTTATTTTGGGGTGAAATTTAAGTGTCCTTCACTGTGGACCATATTTTAGTGGCTAGTTCCTTCCTTCTACATAAATCACCAAGGAAATCGGCCAATCCTGGAATTCAGAAGACAACCCTTGGCTATTCCTAGCAAGGTCCATTCAGAGGAACATTTCAGTTTGTTAAATATTAGCTTGTAACGAGCTCATTAAGACTTGAATGGTAGGAGTCAAATCTGGCAATGGTCTCTTATTGAAAGTCAGTGGATCCAGTGAAAGTAATTTAGGTACTCATCAAAATCTTAACCTCTACTGCTTTAAGTTTATAAATGACAGATGAAACAGCAACAGTCTATTCCCAAGCAGTCATGCGCTACTGAAATAACTTTTATGCGGTGGTGTGAAAAAGTCCTTAAATATTCATGCCAATACGTTTGATTTTTATTTTTATCCTTGAAGCACAAAAAGGTCATTTGTTCACATTATTCTCCGGGCTCAGTTTAGCAATGTGTTGTTGTGAGTCAAAAAACCTTTTCCTCAGTAAAAATATGAATTTTGTTTTGCCGATTCTTCCAGTTTGATTATCCAATATAATGTTAAACTCCTTCTGATAGATGAGAGGCCATGTAAGTTTGTTTAATAAATAAATGAAAAATGGGATGACAGCAATAGAGTAAAAGCTGCCCCAGCAACAGAATAATTATGATTGCAAACGCTTCATAGTTTGACTCTTGAATATTGCTATTCATTTGAACTTGGCTGATAAATAGCAAATTTAAAAAAGGATCAAGTATAGCCAAATAGTTTAAATTTAGCCAGCCAGGCACCATTTAAATCATGTAATATAAAACGTTAAAATATTTGAAAGGAGATGACAGTAATTAAAAAGCAGCAGAATCAAATTTATTTTTTGTTGTTAACCCAACTAGGACACAAGTCAATGGCCATTGTGACAAATGTTGGAGATTTGTAGATTCTTTTTAGTTTTATGCAAACATAAGGTCAAATCCAATCCTATGCAAGTCCACTCATAAGTAAACTACAGTTAGTTCAGTGGCTTTACTTAGCAGGTGCACAAAGGATTATAACTTTATTATTCTTATATTAGATCTGGAAAATAGGTAGTGACGAAGGATTTCCTGTTGCTCCAAAGTTTCATGTACAGGTTATTCTCACATCTGATGTTGCTTAATTGTCTTCCGACATCTCCGTGTAAAAGAATTTTGTTTTGCATTATAATGTGTGAACTGTTTACAGGTGGGAGAAAGGATTGGTGGTATTCAGTTATTCACAAAAGAGGCGTGTCTCCTCCTCCTTAAATTCTAGGTGGTCGACAATATTTGTGAAATAGCGGACAAAGCAGAAGTTGCTTGCAAAATGCATATAGTTTTATTTTATTTTATTTTAAGTTATTAATACATTTATATGCCATCCATCTCCCCCAGGTATTACTACAAATTCCATTCAGAAATATAAGTATTTGTAAGAATGGGCACAAAAATGGATACGCAATTTGTGTGTTAACTGTATACAGTCCTGTGCTGCATTGGATCCCTGTTTCTGGCAGCATCTGACCCTATTTTTGGTACTATATGTTCTTTGCTTTTCTTTTAAATTCTAGTGCAATTTGAGTGGCATTTCATTTAGCTGACAGAATCACAATTCCCCTAGTTGTCATCTGTCCAGATTATAAAGCAAATGGCACAATATTAAATTATAGAGACGAGGAACAATGTGTCTGGCTGCTTGGCCTTATCTCAGTGGTTCTCAGAGCACACTTTAATGAAAGGAGCCATGTTAAAATGAAACGTTGGTTCCAACCATGCTGAAAATGGAATAGAAGGGCTGTCATGTATTGTCATTTCTGCTCCTCCTCCTCTATGAGCAAAGAGGTGACCTTGAATTAGGATGTGCTACTGTCTGGGCCTTCCTGGAAGTTTCCATATATACTTCAATGTGCCAAAGTAAATCTAGTTTCTCTTTACAAGTAATGATGTCTCTAGTTTAGCTCCAGTCAATTTCTAGGGCTAGTTACACAGTGAAGGGCTGTGTATACACATGTGCACACTGCCGGATGCATGGACCTGGAAAAAGTTGTGCCTGTCTTAACGATTCCAGAAGAGCTGCTTATATATCATATGCTTCTGTGTGTTCCACAGGATTTCTTTGAAAGGATTTGTGTGCTTTTGTTGTGGTGTGTATAAGCAAAGAGTCTACAATCCTTTTCAGGTGGAGGGTCACAATGGGCCTTTAGTTTGGGTGATGGGTTGCGTTCCACTAAGTATGGCCAAGAAGAAGTGGGAAGGGCTAAATTAAATTAAGTTAAAATCAAACTTAAACCAAACTGATTCCAGTTAATATGACAATTTGTGTATTTAATCATTCCCCTTTCTGTTGTCCCAAAGATAAGAGTTCAGCAGCAAATTTTGGAGGGATTCCAAAGGGTGAAGCCAGGGTTTGGGGGAGCTGTACCTCTCAACTAAGCAGAACCTGGCAATTAACTGTTGGACCTCTCAATGCTGCTGTGTTTTCTCCACTTTTGTGATGAGTAGTTGTTTATTCTTCAGTTTAACCTCAAGGGACCACAGCATTGGCATTATAAACGCTTTTTGCATTTATAAAAATTTAAGTACTGGCTAGTGGGGTAGGGAAGGGAGGAATATGGATTTCAGATGATTTGACTGACATTTTGAAAGTATTTCTGAAAGTTTGTTTTCTTATTCTATCTTACCATCTCCCACATACTCTTTCTTGCTTGGGTCCTTACAATAATGATCTTTCTGTCCAGAGGTGGAAGAAAAAAGAACTGAAATGACTTCACATACGCTTGAAAGGCTGGAGAACTTGAATTGCTTCTAACCTTAATTAAGGGTCAGTGAAAGTGGACCAAATATCAGGAGCCTAAACTCTTACTAAGGTGCATGGATTTGCACAAAGTATGCAGGCAATCATTTATAGGTGTGATGGCAATTGCTACAAATCTCATAGTAGGAAGAGACTGAAAACAGGTGGTTTGTGTGGTTTCTTGGATGTATATGGAAACTGACCTTGGACTGGATGGTCCTTTAAGTAGAGGATGGTTTCAAATATGTAAACTCACTGGGGGTCCCTGGCCAACTGATGACCATGCCATAGACCAGTGTTTCTCAACCTTGGCAGCTTGAAGATGGATGGACTTCAATTCCCAGAATTTCCCCCCCCCCCCCTTTCCGCGGTGGGAGTTTTGGGGTTTTATATGCCCCTATCTCCTCCACCCCTACAGGGGGAGAAAGTGTTTCTTGGGACTGGCT